CATTCTGGAGTCAGAGTTGAAAAATGAATATAATTAACAACCGTTGTCTTGAGGGGTTAATTTTCACTTGAAATCCCAAGACTGAGAAAGGCTTTTTCAAGCTTTGGACTAACAACTTTTTGTTTTGTTGTTTTATTTGGGAGGGGCGGGGGGAGAAGGGGCCAGAACGAGCATTCAGGGGCTACTCCTGGCTCTGTAATCTGGAGTCACTTGGAAGACCATTTGTGATGCTGGGGATTGAACCAGGGACAGCTGTGTGTAAGGCAAGCACCTTAACCCCTGTATATCTTTCTGGTCTAAAGACTTCAATCCGTTTCTTTTTTGGGTCAAACTTGGTAGAGTAATCAGAACTTACTCCTGGCTCTGTGTTCAGGAATTACACCTGGCAGGAGTCAGGGGACCACATGGGGTTCTGGGGATTGAACCCGAGTTGTTGGCATGCAAGGCAAATGCTGTGCTATCTCTTCAACCTGAGACTGAAGACTTTTTTTTAATTTAGGTTTTTGGAAAACACCCAATAATGTTCAGAGGTAAGTCCTGGATCTGCACTCAAGAATTATTCCTGGCAGTGATCAGAGAACTATATGGGATGCCAGGATCAAACTCAGGTTGGCTGCATGCCCCGATGTAGGTGGACCCCATGGGTGGCTCATATGAGTCAGGAGGAGAAAGACGATCACTCTCTTCCGATCTGCCTCTGCCACCCGGGACCTAGGGTTACTGGGTTCTTGTCTGGCTCGCAGAAAAGAATTTCAGGAGTAGACAAGCAGTGAAGCAAAACGGGTTTTATTTGGAGGGTTTTTTGAAAGTGTGGAGGGAGAGAGAACAAGGCGGAGAGAGACGTGCTCAAGAGAGAATGCAGGAGGCTTCTCCAAGGGTGGAGAGAGACCCCCCACACACTTCCAGCATTAGATAGGAAAGCATCTAATGTACACATCTCAAGAGGGGAGATGCGAGCGACACATGTGCTCAGGCACCGCATGTACCGGGCCTGTTCAAGGTGGCTTTTATAGGCTCTTTGCGGGGTTGTCTTGATCCAGAAGTTCTGGAGTCTTCTCCAGGTTGAATCACTAAAGTTAATCAGATTAAAGGAGAACTTCATGGGGGAGGGGTCCAATCTCCTCAGGCTCTGCTGAAGGTCTTATCAGGTTTTTTGTTTTCCGTAACCACAGAGTGGATCAGTCTTAAAAGTTTCCTTCTCAGAAGTTTTGTTGACCTAATTTTCACTGCCATTGCCAAGGGCCTTTTCCTGTCTACTTGTCTACATCAGCCCTACGCACTATACTCTCACTCTGGCCTGTGACTGAAGACTTTTAAAGGGCAAAGACATCTGCTTTTTAGAGAGCTTGATAAGTTTCTGATGAAAATGTTATCCAAGCCTCGTAATCAATACATGTTCAGATTTTGGAATGAAAATGAACTAGATAAGTCCTGCTTTTGGAGGTGGCTTAGCAGGAGCTAAGACAGTTCTCTTTTACTAAAACCCCAATATAACTTACTAGGTCCAAAGTTCCAGATAATATAGCCTTATTACCTTTTTTCCCCCCTTTGGAATGCAGAGGTTGAGTACGAAGATGCTGGAGTCTATTATTACCCGAATTCCAATTCCATTTTTTATTTTTTATTTTTATTTATTTATTTTTGCTTTTGGGGTCACACCCAGCGATGCACAGGAGTTACTCCTGGCTCAATGCACTCAGGAATTACTCCTGGCAGTGGTCAGGGGACCATATGAGATGCAGGGAATCGGAACCCGGGTTTAAGGCAAATGCCCTACCCCCTGTGCTATTGCTCCAGCCCCCACTGTTTGTTATACAAACTTAGCAATTATTATGTACAGAGGGATTGGAAGCAAGTTCAGGACACAACATAAGCAGCTTAACCCCATAACTATCTTTCTGGCCCATGTTGGGCTTTTTTGTTTTGCTTTGGTTTGGCTTTTGTTTTGTTTTCTTTAGGGGGTCATACCCAGTGATGCTCAGGACTTACTCTTGACTCTGAACTTAGGAATTGGTCCTGGCTCCAGGGACCCTATGGGATTCCAGGGATCAAATCAGAGTCAGTCACATACAAGACAAGCACCCTACCCACCTTGCTATCTCTCCAACCCTTTGTCTGGGTCTTTTAATATTTTACAAATGTTACTTGAATTAATCTTAACACCTCTATTTAGTATATAGCCTTATTACCTTTTTTCCCCCCTTTTCGGTTTCTTTGGGACACATGGGTGCTCAGGACTTACTTCTGCCTCTGCACTCAGGAATCACTCCTGGTGGGTTCAGGGAACCCAGTGCAGTGCCAGGAAAAATACCTCTGGAAATTTGTCCATTTTCTGTGTCTGCCCTGCCATCTCCTAGATGTATATTATCACCATCTCTTGCTGGGACAGCTGCAATTATCTCCTAATTGGTTCAACAGCTTACTTGCTGGCTGATACAAGTCTCTTCTCTTTAAAGGCAAAAAGGTAAAGGCCCTCCTGTTGTTCATCGATTTGCTCGAGCGGGCCCAGTAACGTCTCCATTGGAGATTTTGTTGTTACTGTGTTTGGCATATCGAATACATCACGGGTGGCTTGCCAGGCTCTGCCGTGCGGGCGAGATACTCTCGGCAGCTCCGAGAGGGGCAGAGGAATCGAACTCGGGTCGGCCATGTTAGCTGCTGCAAGGCAAACGCCCTTTCGGGCTGGAGTGACAGCACAGTGGGTAGGGCATTTGCCTTGCACGCGGCCGACCTGAGTCCGATTCCCAGAATCCCATATGGTCCCCTGAGCACCACCAGGAGTAATTCCTAAGTGCAGAGAGCCCGGAGTAACCCTTGTGCAACGCCAGGTGTGACCCAAAAAGCAAAAAAAAAAAAAATAACCTTTTCAAGATAGAGTCAACTTGGATTGTATTGTGCTCTCACTTAAAATAGTCCAACAGTTTCTCATTGTTCTTAGATAATTACCCAAAATCCATAACAGATAACACTTATAGGATATGGCCTTAGTCCATTCTTTCAGTCTCATTCTTGGCCATCCTTCCCCTTCCCTTGACCCCAGTAGTTAAACTTTATATCATGTATTGTTTTTCATTTGTTTGGTTGGTTTGGAGATCACACCCCATCAGTGCCAGGACTTACTCCTGGCTCTGCACTCAGGGTTCACTCCTGGCAGGACTCAGGAGACCATATGGGGTTCCAGAGATTGAACCTGAGTCGGATACACGCAAAGCAAGTGCCCTACCCACTGTACTCTCACTTTGGCCCCTTCACTACTTATTAACAAGTATGGGGGGTGGTGGCTGAAGAGCGAGTACAGGAGATAGGGTGTTTGCCTTGCACATGGTAGACCCAGGTTTGATCTCCAGCATCCCATAATATCCCCTGAGCACTTCCAGGAGCAATTCCTGAGTGCAGAGCCAAGGAGTAACCCTTGAGCATCACTAGGTGTGACCCAAAAAAGCCAAAGCAAACAAACAAACAAAATAGTCACTCTTTTATTTGCTATTAAAGGATAACAGACAAACCAAAAACAAACCTATGCAAACTGAATTGCTATCATCTTGATTTTGGGTTTTTGAACTTTCATAACTGTGACAAATTCCTATTCTTCTGATACTAGATGATGCTGTTCAAACAAAAACAAAGACCAATCACATGAATGTAACAGTAACAATACACGGAAGAGGATTTTTTTTTTCTTTTTGGGTCACACCTGGCAACACACAGGGGTTACTCCTGGCTCTGCACCTGGTGGTGCTCGGGCGACCATATGGGATGCTGGGAATTGAATCCGGGTCGGCTGCGTGCAAGGCAAACGCTCTACCCACTGTGCTATCTTCAGCACCACCACCTCCACAGGATCATTTTTTAAAAGCAGACATGAGAACTGAGGATCAGGCACTTGCTTGCCTTGCTCGCAGTGGGTGGCTTAGATTCCCCCCACACACACCACATATGGTCCTTGAGTCATGCCAGAAGTACTGAAGTACATAGCCGGGTGTGACCCCAAAAAGCCAAAAAAAATTAAATTTAAAAAAATAGAGCCAGATTGTTAGTTCAGCAGGTACGCATTTGCCTTGCACATGGCCTACTGGGGTTCCATCCCTCGTATCCCATATGGTCCCCAAGGCACCGCCAGGAGTAATTCCTGAGTGCAAAGCCAGGAGTAAGCCCTGAGCATTTCTGGGTGTGACTCAAAAAGCAAAATAAATAAATAAATGAAAAATAGAAGCGCTGAAGTAACAATGATCACAAACAGGTGTGACCAAAGACGAAAAATCATAGAAAACAGATTGGTGGTTTGGAGGAGGGATAAGGTGTTTATTTCAACAGTGGCTTAGACAGGGATAAGGTGCTTATTTCAATAGTGGCTGACCACTGCTGGAATCCCAGCAACACACTACGGTTCCCCAAGCACCATTCCCAGGATGCCAGGAGTGATCCCTAAGTCCAAAACCTGGACTTAAAAAAAACACCTGTTTTGGTTTTGATTTGGGTTGGGGGTGAGGAGCACACCAGGCGGTGCTCTGGGCTCTGGGCCTACTCCTGGCTCTGCGCTCAAAGGACCCCATGGCCATAACACTGGACACACAGAAACCAATCTCATAATTATCTGGCTCCTTAAAGAAATCTGAGGGAAATGGCTCGAGCTACCGAACATGGGCGATGGGAGAGATAGAGTGCCGCTGGCCTTCTGAAAACACACCAATGTTCAGCATGTCATTAGAATATCATTTGCAGTGGTTGCGCAAGTCAGACTTTCAAAATTATTGTGGCATACATGTTGGTTTAAAGTTGTCCAACAAGGGACTGGAGTGATAGTACAGTGGGTAGGGCATTTGTTTTGCACACAGCCGGACCCGGGTTCATTTCCCAGCATCCCATATGGTTCCCCAAGCACTCCTGGCTCTGCACTCAGGAGTAATTCCTAAGTTCAGAGCCAGGAGTAACCCCTGAGCATTGCCAGGTGTGACCAAAAAATAAATAAAGTTGACTAACACGGTTGTTACTCTTGCAGGATGGCGTCCAATTTAAATCAAGATGAATTGCCTGGACTATCTGATGTTATTAGTGCTGACCCAGAGGTAAGACCTTCAGAAATAAATTTTGATGCCATTAAGCTTGATCTCTCACATAAATTTTCCTTAGTTGTTTCGAACAATGAGGTGAGTACAAGAAAAGCACTGTTTTGAGTATCTTAGTTGAGTGGAAATGTGTGTCTACATGGAAATATGGTAGATCTAGAATAGAGCTTTACTGGCTGGATTTTGGGTCGGAGAGGTAGCTCAGCAGACTGAATGCATCGTTTGCATGCAGGAAAATTGGGTTAAACTCTGGTCTGACATGGTCACAAAGCACCACCAGAGTACAAACCAGAATGTAGCCCCTGAGCACCACCATTCCCCAAAAAATAACAGTAAAAAATCTGTAGATTTGAGGCAACCTTCCATTTTAGTAACTTTTTCATGATTTACTCCCAATTGAGATACCATGATTTACAGTACTGTTGATGTGTTCATTGTTAATAGTAACTATAAATTTTTTTATTTTTAAATTTTTAAATTTTATCTTCATAAAGCTATTCACAATAATTGATTACATTCAACAGATACATCAGGTGGTGTATCTTTAGACATCTGGGGAGGAAAAAGTTTTCCAATTAAAGGATCTAGTCACTTTTTATAGATTCTGTTATGAGTGTCTCTTATTACCCACTTCTCCTCCTCTCCCACCCATTCATTTTCCAAATTAGGAATATGGAATTGTGGTGCCAGAGATTGAAAAAGGGTTAGTCACATGCAGGCAAGTGCCTTATCCCTCTATAATGTCTTTACAGCCCACTTTAAAGAAAGATGACCCATGAAAAGCCCTATTTTGTATCTTTAAAATAAAGTTATCTTGCTCCCTTTTTTTTGTTTTTTAAGACAAGCAGTTTGGAACCCACAGATTATCTCCAAGTTTATCTTCGAGTGAGACCATTCACACAATCAGAAAAAGAACAAGAGACTCAGGTTTGTGTTGAGTTTGCTTGGGGTTTATTCTTTTACTTTTTGTATTGAATGGACAAAATACCATTATTTTCATTTATTTGTTATGTTTCATTTTACGTGTTGTGTTCTATTTAGGGTTGTGTTTATAGTTTAGACTCCCAGACTATTATGCTGAAAGATCCTCAAAGCATCCCTGATAGGTTAAGTGAGAAAAGTTCTACGCAGATGGCACAGAAATTCAGTTTCTCTAAGGTAGGTACACTGGAAAATGTGAACTTGAAAAGTCTTCTTTTAGGAGAGGGAAACTTTGGCAGATTTATTACAAAATTGTGTATATAGACTGCTCTGTGTGTGTGTGTGTGTATTTTGTGGTTGTGGAACTTAGATCTTAAGCACCAGTACTTTTTTTCTCAAGTCTAGGACTCAAATGCCAAATTTAATACATGTATAATGGTAGTGAACAAATCAGTGTGTGGTCCTTAAACAATTTTATCAAGTATATTTGTAAGAGTTAGGAATACGGTACTATATTAAGAATGAATCTTCTAAAACAAATTATTTTAATTTTTAAAGTATGAGTGACGAATGGGGAGGAATCCATTGTAACTATTAAATTTTTCTTTATTTTTTAAATTTTTAAATTTTTGGCGCTGCGCACGCCTCACCATGTGCCTGCAGCCGCCGCCTGCCGTCCGGTGCTCCCCGCTGCCGCTGCTGTGTCAATCCTCCATCTGGAATTGAAGAGGAAGCTGCTGAAAACTGTGTACCTAAACCGAAAGTGACTGAAACTGAATATGATAGTGACAGTGATGATGATGAGGATGATGTTCATGTCACTATCGGAGACATTAAAACGGGAGCACCACAATATGGAGTTCGTTCCAGATTTTTCTGTAGCTTTGAATGGCTGTCTGCATGAGATGCTGAATCCAGAGTAAGCCAGCAGCTTCCCTGCTAAAGAAAATAATTTATGATTCAGCCAAAGAGAAGGACAACATGGAGGGCGGGATCCACAGATCCCGAAGGAAAAAAAAAAGAAAACAGGTTCCCAAAAGAGCCGAGATCATCGGGAAGTCCCAGATGGGGTAGGTACCGCATCCCGCCTCCCCCAGATGGAACCCCGGTGACCAGAAGCCTCTACAACCACAGCTCGAGTATGCGGGAACTAGGACTTTTTCTCAAATCTACTGGGACTACAACTCTCAGGTAACCTCAGATTCCGGAAGTCACGCCCACAGCCCGCCCCCCAGCGCCATCTTTACAGCATTCAGCCAAAGAGAAGGACAACATGGAGGGCGGGATCCACAGATCCCGAAGGAAAAAAAAAAACACGTTCCAAAAAGAGCCGAGATCATCGGGAAGTCCCAGATGGGGTAAGTACCGCATCCCGCCTCCCCCAGATGGAACCCCGGTGACCAGAAGCCTCTACAAGCACAGCTCGAGTATGCGGGAACTAGAACTTTTCCTCAAAATCGCGTGGCCGCTTACGCGGCCGCACAACATCTCTCTATATACAAAGTGATCCATGGGAAGTAAACCACCCAACGTTTCTCTCTGAAAATCATAGTTAAGTTTGGAGCACAGCCACAGCCCCAGAAACACAAGGACTTAATGCAGAACCCAGCTGCTTGGAGCAGAAAAGTGAACGGATTATGTGTTAATCCAGGCCATCATGTCTGCCCGGAAGGGAAAGGGTGTTGCCCCATTTGCCCTCCTCCCTCTGGAAAGAAAGATGGTGGCCACATGGGAGCCTCGTGGACAGCAGGTATGAGCCGGGGGTGTGGGGGTGACTAAAACCTCATGGGAAGGGGGGCGTTCCGGTCCGTCCTTCACGCCCTACCGAGGTCACCAGTTGCCCCCAGCGAGCGGCTCTCCAGCACAGCCACGGCCCCAGAAGCAAAGGGACTTAATGCAGAACCCGGCAGCTTGGAGCAGAAAAGTGAATGGACTATGCATTAATCCAGGCCATCATGCCTGTCCGGAGGGGAAAGGGTGTTGCCCCAGTCGCCCTCCCCTCTCTGGAAAGAAAGATGGCGGCCGCATGGGAGCCTTGTGGACAGCAGGTATGAGCCGGGGGAGTGGGGGCGACTAAAACCTCATGGGAAGGGGGCGTTTCGCTCCGCCCTTCACGACCTACTGAGGCCACCAGTTGCCCCCCACTAGCAGCTCTCCAGCATGGCCACGACTCCAGAGCACAGAAACCAATTTCTTAACTATCTGACTTTCAGTAGAAATACTTCCAGGGTCAATAAGTAAAATAGCAGAAATCCAAAACCAACATTTAATTCTTGAACCCAGCTATAGGAAGCAAATCACTTCACAATGCTTTTTCAACATGTCTGATTTGGGGGGGGGGGGGGGTAAACTCTAAATAATAGTGGTGAATCTTTTATTGAAACAACGAATCTAATCAAAGCAGATAGAGTGTTAACTAGAATTCATCTGCCCCACAGGGACTGGGAGGGGTGGGGGGTGGTGTTTTATTGGGGTTCTTCGTGGTAAAAAATAAGTATTGTAAAGGGAAATGTGTTTGATATTTGCATGACTGAGACCTAAACCTGAAAGTTTTGTAACCTTTCCCACGGTGATTCAATAAATAAATAAATAAATAAATAAAAATTTTTTATCTTCATAAAGCTATTCACAATAATTGATTACATTCAGTATTTCAACTCCAATCTCACCCCCATTATTTGAATTTTCCCACTACTACCCAAGCCTGCCGCACAAGCAGGTGCTAAATTTAATTTATTTTGTATTGCTTGTTGTGAATAGTATGAGATGTTGCATGGCCACGAAAGTGGCCTCGTGCTCCTAGAATTCTAAAATTTTAAATATTTGTGATTCAGAGGCATCTCTGTGGTGCCTTCCAGGAAACCAGAAGGGCAGGGATATGGGGGGGGGGGGGATTGCCCATTCCTGACTTCATGAAGCCTGGGGTTTCAGTCACAGTTCCTGCATTCCTGGGTATTAGCAGATTCATTCTCATGCAAGGGGAGCTCGCTTGGGAAGAACCTGTGAAGGTCGGCTGTGAGCGTGGCGGGGATTGGGTTCTGGAGGTTTGAGTCTACTCGGGTTCATCTGGGGCAGGCACATGGACACACCTGCCCGCCTCCTAGGTGGCCGGTGGAATCAGCCTGGTGAGTGGTAGGGAGATATCTATCTCTGCAGCATGCTGCTCTTTTCTAAGGTTCATTTGTGAGTCCTGAAATTTTCTTTAAAGGTCTTCTTTTTAAAAATTTTTTTAGGTTTTTGGCCCAGAAACTACGCAGAAGGAATTCTTCCGAGATTGTACTCTGCAGCAAATAAAAGGCCTCTTGAAAGGAGAAAGTCAGCTGATTTTTACTTACGGGCTAACAAATTCTGGAAAAACATATACTTTTCAGGGTAATTGTTTTATTTATTCAGGAAAGAATAAAGAAGAACCAATACAGATTTTTATATACTTGTTTATAATTATATTTTCACTACCTAGTATATTCCATTTTTAAGTATATTGAATATGTATTGCTAGTGACTTTTAATTCAGTTTGGGTTTTGGGGGGTTTTTTTGGGGGGGGTTCACACCCAGCAATGCTCAGGGGTTACTCCTGGATTTGCACTCAGGAATCACTCCTGGTGGTGCTCGGGGGACCATATGGGATGCTGGGAATCGAACCTGGGTCAACCACATGCAAGGCGAATGCCCTGCCCGCTGTACTGTTGCTCCAGCCCCCAGTTTGATTTTTTTTAATTAGTACAACTACCTATATGGGGCTGGAGCGATAGCACAGCGGGTAGGGCGTTCGCCTTACAAGCGGCCAACATGGCCGACCCGAGTTCGATTCCTCCGCCCCTCTCGGAGAGCCCGGCAAGCTACTGAGAGTATTCGATACGCCAGACACAGTAACAACAAAGTCTCCAATGGAGACGTTACTGGGCCCGCTTGAGCAAATCTCTTTGGGGCTGGAGCGATAGCACAGCGGGTAGGGCGTTCGCCTTACAAGCGGCCAACATGGCCGACCCGAGTTCGATTCCTCCGCCCCTCTCGGAGAGCCCGGCAAGCTACCGAGAGTATTCGATATGCCAGACACAGTAACAACAAGGTCTCCAATGGAGACGTTACTGGGCCCGCTCGAGCAAATCGACGATCAACGGGAGGGCCTTTACCTTTACCTTTACCTATATGAAAGAGTTTGATGATGAGGGGAGTTGAAGAGAGATAAGGTGCTTGCTTATCTAGCATTTAGCTGACTCTGATTGTATCTCTTGAGCACCTCCAGGAATGATCTCTTAGAAAAAAGTCAGGACTGGGTGTGCCCTGAAAAAAAAACCAAAAAGAGACGTAGATAATACTAAAAATAGGGAACTAGAGAGGTAGTAATGCCAGTAAGACACTTGATTTACAGTACTTGAAGTTCTGTGCTACATAAGATCCCTCTAAATACCACCAGGAGTAATCCCTGAGCACAGTGTCAGAAGTAAACCCTAAACACCTCCAAGCACTGTCACATTGTCCTCCCGTTGTTCGTTGATTTGCTCCAGTGGGCACCAGTAACATCTCACAACAAATTGTGAGACTTGTTGGTATTGTTTTTGTGTTTTTGGCATATCAAATACATCACAGGTAGCTTGCCAGGCTTTGCCATGAGGGCGAGATACCCTCGGTAGCTTGCCGAGCTCTCTGAGAGGGGAGGAGGAATCAAACCCGGGTCGGCAGTGTGCAAGGCAAACACCCTACTTGCTGTGTTATACAGCGGGTAAACACTTCCAAACCAGAAAAAAAATCAAAAACAGAAACCAGTAAAAGGATTGATACAACATAGTGAATTAAGCAGAGCAAAGAAGCAAAAACATTTTATATTTTATAATTATGAGTGGTTGCACTTTTTAAGTCTTGCTCTGAGTGTAAAGTTTCAGGTTTTGTATCAGAATAATAGTTTAAAAAGTGTTGATTGTACAACAGAGACCAGAGTGAAAGAAAAATTAGTAATCCTTTAACTCCTTGCTTTTGCTGTAGGGTTTTGTTTTTTTGTTTTTGTTTTTGTTTTTTTGTTGTTTTTTTTTTTTTGGCTATTGGACTGGAGCGATAGCACAGCGGTAGGGCATTTGCCTTGTGCGCAGCGGGCTCGGCAAAGCTGGGTTTGATTCCTCTGCCCCTCTCGGAGAGCTCGGCAAGCTACCGAGAATATCTCACCCACAGGGCAAAGCCCGGCAAGCTACCCGTGACGTATTCGATATGCCAAACACAGTAACAAGTCTCACAATGGAGACATTACTGGGCCCACTCGAGCAAATTGATGAACAACGGAAGGACAGTGCTACCGTGCCTATTGGTGACATAAAAGGACCCCCGATAGTGCAGAAATTCTTTTCCTTCACAGTACTCTGAGAGAAAACAAGACAAAAATTCTTTCTACAGGCACGAAAGAGAATGTTGGCATCCTGCCTCGGACTTTGAATGTACTATTTGACACTCTTCGGGGAAGACTATATACGAAAATGAATCTTAAACCACATAGAGCCAGAGAATATTTACAATTGTCATCAGATCAAGAGAAAGAAGAAGTTACTAGCAAAAGTGCATTGCTTCGGCAAATTAAAGAGGTTTGGAGTTGTCTTAGTATATAATATACACATTATAGCCTTTTTAAAGCTCCATCATTTGTTTTAGCCTATAGTGGAATGTATGATGGTAATCGGGGCTATTGGGGGGGGGCAGGTTTTGTTGTTTGGTTTGGTTTTTGGACTACACCCATTCATGCTCAGGGTTTACTTCTGGTTCTGCATTCAGGAATTACTCCTGGTAGTGCCCAGAGGACCATATGGGATGCTGGGGATCAAACCCAGGTCAGCTATATACAAGGCAAACGTCCTACCCACTGTACTATCGCTCTGGTGCCCTTAAAATTACTTCTTAATTGTAGAAGTAATTTGCATGTGTAAAATATAAAGTGAACATTTCTCTTCCTAAAGAACAAAGTTACCAGACTAGAAACTATTCATATTATACAGAAAGAACTTACAAAAAAGTTTTTGTATGTATTTTTGTGTTTTATTTTTTTTTTTGGTTGGGGGGGCCATACCCAGTGATGCTTAAGGGTTACGCCTGATTCTGCACTTAGGAGTTACTCCTGGATGTGTTCTGGGGACCATATAAAATGTTTGGAGTCAAACCCATGTTGGCTGTATACAAGGCATGCGCTCTCTCTGCTCTACTGCCTCTCCGGCCCCCGTGTATCTAGTTTTGTAAAAGTCTTTAACAGAATATTTTCTATAGGGCCAGGGCGATAGATAGTACAGTGGGTTGGACACTTGCCTTGGGATTGATAGAGATTTTCTTTTTTTGTTTGTATTTTTGGGTGGTTTTTAGTTTTGTTTTGCTTTGTTTTCTGACCTTTACCAACTGCAGTCAGGGCTTACTCCTGGGATCACTCAGAACCATATGGGGTGCCAATAATTGCATGCAAGGCAGGCACCTTACCCAATGCACTATCCCTGGACCCCTTTTCTAGGGGGTGGGGATCATAGCCATTGTTACTCAGAGGCTATTCTGGGCTCTGCTAAGAAGTGTTACTCAGGGGACCACACATAGTATCAAGAATTCAGACCAGTAATTTAGTACTTTTTGCTGCAACAGTATAGAAGGCTAAGTGCCTAGTCCTGTCCTATCTCTCCAGCCCCCCCTTTTTTGAGGGGGGGAGGAGTAGGAGATGCTTTGGCCATATCTCCTGTACTGTCTCTCCAGCTTTCCCTTTATGAGGGGTTGGGAGTGACTTGGGTCACAGCCTACAGTGCCCAAGGACTTTCCAAGGCTCTGTGTGCAAGAGTAACTCCTAGCAATACTCAGGAGACCCTATTTGGTGCCCAGAATTAGAACCAGTGTTGGCAGAACGCAAAGTACATTCTGTAACCCCTATATTGTTTCTCTGGCCTGAGAATGTATTTTTTTAATTGTCTGGAAAATTTAGTAGATCAACTATCTTAACATGGTTTTAAAGTTTTTTTAATCTTTTATTTTCAGGCTGCTATGCATCATGACAGTTATGATGCTCTTCATGGTAAGGAGTCCTTTTTCACTAATCTTTAAAATGTGTATTGTCTGAAGAAATACATGAAAAGCTTTTAAATTTTAATCATTCCTATTGATTTAATTTCTTTAGTGACAGTACAAATCTAGAAAATGATACTTAGAATGAAATGTCAATCTAAAGTTTTATTTAGAGCATAAATAGCCCTTTACTAGTTGGAATATCTTAAATTCACAAGACAGTTTTTTTCTTTGTCCTTTGACTTTGGTTTCAGTTTGGTTCATTAGAATATTTCCAAAAGGAAAAGAAAGATAAGCCAAACTTTAGTTGACAAACAGATATCTGTTTCATCTGAAATCTATGAGCTGCTTTTAAATGATTAAGAATACTTAGTTTTCAAGTCTAGGAGGCTTGTTCTATCCTGTTATCTTGTTTTTAATGAGTTGCTGAATTGTTGTGATTATCCTTTTTAAAATTTTTTGTAGGGAGTTTGACGAACTCTTTGAGTACTTCAAAGTTTGAAGAATTTATGAAAGATTGTGAACAGTCCTGCTTGAACATGGATGATAGCATAAAGTTTTCTATTTGGATTTCTTTCTTTGAGATTTACAATGAATGTATTTATGACTAGTTTGTTCCTGTATCTTCTAAGCTCCTAAAGAGAAATATGCTACGCCTTTCTCAGGATGTAAAGGGCTATTCTTTTATAAAAGGTATAGTAATGAGTACTTTTTATTTTATTTATTGATTCAAAGTTCCTTTCTAGATTTTGTTAAAGCTATAAGAAATCAAACCAAGGAATAGATCGATAGTACAGCGGGTAAGGAATTTGCCTTGCATGCAGCTAACCTGAGTTTGATCCCTGACATCCCCATATGGTCCCCCAAGCACTGCCAATAGTTATTCCTGAGTGCAGCGCATTAGTAACCCGATCATAATGATCCCCCTCAAAAAAAATCAAACCAGAAATTGAAATTATTTTATTCTTTTAAAATTCAAGATAAAAAGATTGTGTTTAGGAAGTATGTTAATTAAACCTGAATATAAAGGGCTCTACTTGAGTGTTGCCATAGCGTTGCCAAATATCCCTAATTGGATTCACAAGTGGGAAAAGCTGTGAGTTTTCATATTATTCTGCCCTATAACAGTGTCCAAATTGACAACTATCAAAATGCTATTCTCCCAACCTGCTCCAGCCCCTGAACAGGCCATTTTAAATGCTTAGGTAGGGGCCAAAATGATAGTATAGTAGGTTGCCTTGCATGCAGCCCACCTGGGTTCAATTCTAGGAGCCCCATGTGGTCCCAGCACCCACCGGGAGGACAGAGACCCACCTACTCCAGCACAGAGCCAGGAGTAGGCCCTCAGCATCTCTGGTATGGCCCAAAAACAAAAAGAAAAATAAAGTGACCTGTTTTCAGAGCAGTGGTCAAGTGCATGTTTTGATAGTGAGGCCCTGGATTTGGCTCTTAGAGAGAGGGAGAGAAGGAGAGGTGATAGAAAATCCTACTCACAGCGTCAATACCTATGTATCAATACTGTCGTGACTTAGTACCTGCATATCTATATAAATATGCACACTAATACATGCATGTATATTTATGCCTCAGATTTTATTTACAATAAAGTATAACCTTTGTAGTAATATAATAATTTTGATTTGGGGGCAATACTGGGCAGTGCTCAAGGACTGCTCCCAGCCTAGTGCTCAGGAGTCACTCTGCAGTGCTTGAAGGACCAGGTGGTGCTAGAGCTTAAGCCCTGTGCTCTTTGTCACATCAGCTGTCTCTCCAGTCCCACCTTTTTTTAACTTAATTTTACATAATACTGATTATGACTGAGTAAATTTTGTTTTATGACTGCCTAATTTGAATCTGCATTGTCTCACCGCTATAGGCTTAAGCTGTACTGTATTTTTCTTTTATGTTCTGGATTCTACTTCTAAGGAAAAGATTTTCTGTTTGTCAGACTATTTAAGAACTTTAACTTTGTCACCCATTGCTTCTTTTGCAAACCACAACACCCAATAGGAGAGAGAAAACAAAAGGAAATTCCCTGCCACAGAGGCAGGGTAGGATGGAGGGGATGGGGGGTGGGAGGGATACTGGGATCCATGGTGGTGGGAAATGGGCACTGGTGGAGGGATGGGTATTTGATCATTGTTTAATTGAAACCCAAGCACAAAAGTTTGTAAGTCTACAACTGTACCTCATGATGTCTCACTAATAAAAATTAAAAAAAAAACTTTGACTTGATGTCTGTGACATTATGTCTTCCTTTTCTATACCTTCTAATAAAATAGTGAAAAGCTGAGTTGATTCTACCTCTAGGGCATATATTTATATGACTTTATGTTATATGACAAATGCTGTGTGTTTTTTTATCTGTACCTTCTTTATTTTATCAAGATCTACATTGGATTCAAGTGTGTGATTCCAAAGAAGCATACAAACTTTTAAAACTAGGAATAAAGAATCGGAGTGTTGCCTTTACTAAACTGAACAGTGCTTCAAGTAGAAGGTAAAGAAGGCATCCTTTGGCATAAACCCAAAGCACCTAGACTATTCTATGCTAATTTAAATAAAACTAATTAAGATTAAAGTAAGTAGGAGGTTATCTGCTGTTAATTTTTTTCACAGATGTGCAGAATACTGTAACATGAATTGCACTCTAAAAATAAAACTTATCAGGAACATTTATTCTTGGATTTACTAATTTGTCTCCCAGGTGCTTTTCTTTATGTTAATATCTGAGCTTATTCCTTTCAGAATTGCAAGTATTGGTGAATTTTTTTTTGCAGTTATCCCATGAACATAGCTTTTCTGCAACCTGGGTTTGCCCAGATCTTGAGGTTAAGGGAAGAGGGAAGGAGTTAGAATGTGAGACAAAGTTAAAACAAGTTTCAGCAATGAGATACTTCAAACAGATTTCTCTTAAGATGTAAATAATCCTGTCCTTCTTTTCTCAGTACATCGTGAGGATATATAATCCAGACAAGCATATATATAGGTCAAATGGCATAATTCTTAGAGAACTGTGTATAATAAATACCATTTAAACTAAGAGTATGATCTTTTGCAAGCAAATTGAGATTTTATTGTTAAGGCATGTGGGCTAAGTGAAATGAAAGATTTCATTTTATACGGGTGGATGTTATAGGTGACACCCAAGTACTGAAGTGAGCTCTCTGGCAGCTAGTTAGAATATATACTACTGGAACCATGACTCGTATCAGGACATAAATAGATTTCTTATTTAGTTAATTGCCTCCTAGAATATTTTAATGCCAAAATTACAAATAAAAGATAACATTTGATCTTTCTTTTAGTCACAGCATATTTACTATACGAATATTGCAGATCAAAGATTCTGAGATGCCTCATGTAACACAAGTCAGTGAGTAAGTTGGTCATACTTTAAATTCTTATTATTTTGAGTTGTTCTGTTTGAAAAGCCTTTAAAGTTATTTTTGTTATTTTTTTCTTTCTTTTTGGTTCACTCAGACTGTCATTGTGTGATCTTGCTGGTTCAAAAAGAAGCATGAAGACACAAAATGAAGGTGAAAAGTTAAGAGAAACTGGGAACATCAACACTTCTTTATTGGCTCTGGGAAAGTGTATTAATGTTTTGAAAAATAGTGAAAAGTCAAAGTAAGTGTTATAAGTGTTACTAGCATATTTAGTATTAAAATACTTAAGCTTTTAAGAAGTTCTTTTTCCTTTGTGGAGGGCTCACATGGGGGGTCACACCTGGTAGTGCTGGAGACTACTTCCAGCATTGCCAGCTTCAAGCACTACTCGGAACCAAGTAGTAGATGGAAACTGGGGCCCGGACATGCAGAACATGCATTATTCCTTTGAGATATCTCCCCGACCCAGAAAGTTTTTTTTCTTAACCTGTTTTTTTTTATGTAATGACAATGGCTTATGATTGCTTTTTTTTTAATGATAGAAATAAAACACAAGAGCCAGAGAGATGTACAGCTAGTTGGGCACTTGCCTTTCACGCAGTCAACCTGGTTGATCTCCGCATCACGTATCCCCTAGCACCAATAGGGGTGATTCCTGAGCATAGAGCCAGGAGTAACCTGAGAATCAATGGGTATGACCCAAAATCAAAAAAAAAAGGAGAAGAAGAAAGGAACACAGTCTCAATGTTAGTGATTTGCCAAGTAAATAAAGGTTTTCATAGAAAATACATGTCAGTAGCTAATAAGCTTTTCATGATGCTGGTTTGTTCATTATAATTATGCTCTAGATGTGACTGATTTCTGCCTAAGCATTTTAGGTTGAGTAAATTATGAATTAGTCTTCATCACTAGTAGTTACAGTTTTTGGTTTTCAGACTACACTCAAGATGAAGATTTGGTTGAAGATCTAGAAAAAAATGAAGAAAAGCCAAGTATGGAAACTGAACTAACTGATGATGATCTAGATAAAACAGTAGAGGAAGCCAATATAAAAATAAAAGTACTTGTTGCCAGGGCTGTACAGAGAGTACAGTGGGAAGGGCATTTGCTTTGTATGTGGCCAGTCTGGATTTGATCTCTGGCATCCCATAGGGCCTCCAGAGCCTGCCAGGATTGATTGCTCAGCACAGAGCCAGGAGTAAGCCCTGAGCAGGGTGTACCCCAAGAGGGAAAAAAACCTACCGCAAAAGTTCTACTTGTTGTGTTTATTAATTTTTGTAATGAATATTTTTGTTCATAATAAAAATATTTAATAAATCTTATAAATCTTACTTTCTAGGTATCTGTAATGCGTGATGAAGAGAAATTAATGAGGGTTAAAATTAATGAACTGGAGAAAAAGAAAAACCAGGGTTCCCAGGAAATAGATATGAAACAGCGAACCATTCAGCAACTTACGGTAAATTTTGCTTTTAAGAATGGCTTGAAAGGATTCTGTTGGCTTGCTCTTCAAGCCCGTGTTCGCCCTGAAACACATCTCTGCCTCTTTGCTTCCTTGTCTCCCATCTGGGGAAGCTGTATTCTAAAAACACACCGCTTTTCCTCCCCTCACATCTTTCTAAATAAGTTTCAATAAAAACTGTCTTGTGGGCTGCAATAGTAGTATAGCATTAGGGCACTTGGCTTGAATGCAGCCAAACCTGGTTTGATCACTGGCAATCCCCTATGTGGTATCAGGGTGGTGTGGACCTCCTGCATGCAAAGCATATGCTCAGCCCTGAGTTGTCTCCTATCCATAAAGTATAACGGGTTTCTTCCCATTACACTTCCCATTCTTCCTTTTTACCAAAGTGAAAGTCCCATTGTTAAGTATTTCTGTGTGTTTTAAGTTATATTTTAATTTAATTCATGTTGCTTCATTTTTCAGGAGCAGTTAAATAACCAAAAAGCAGAAGAAGCTATTCAACAGTACGAGAAAGTATGCAGAGGTCAGAAACAAATCCCTGATTCCAATAATAAAATGCATTTATCCTTTCTCCTTCAAGTCCATATTCTCCCTTGAATATGTACACATCTTGCTTGCTTGTGTCAGTGCGTCTTAGTTTTTTTTTCCCCCACTCTGGAGAGGAAATATTTCTCCTTTGTTCTAAGTAAGTTTTGTTCAGTAAAAATCACCTTGTAGGGCCAGAGGGATAGCACAGTGAAGAGTACATTTGCCTTGCACGCAGCCAACCTGGGTTTGATCCCATATGGTCCCATTATCGATCCCCTGAGCATTGCTGGTGTGACCCAAAAAGCCAAAAAAATAAAAACTATCTTGCTTCACTAAAAATATATATTTATTCCCAAATTTTCTTCTTTTAAGGAGCCAGAGAGAGAGAGTATAGGGGTTAAGGCACTTGCATAGCATCTGGCTAATCCTGGTCCAATCCCCAGCACCACAATGATCCCCTGAACACCCCCAGGTGAGCTCCTGTGCGCATAGCCAGCAATAGCCCTGAGCACCACTGGGCCACGGCCCCTACCCCTTCTTAAAAGGACATTGCCTGTTGGATTATGGTCCTCCCTAATCCGTTATAGTTTTGTTTTGTTTTTAAAGAAAAAAAAAACTTGGGAGCCATTCGTGGCTCTGCTCAGGACTTACACCTGACTGTGCTCAGGAATCCCTCCTGGAGGGACTTCCGGGACTATATGAGGTACCGGGGAACAAATCAGAATTAGCCACATGCGAAGCAAGCACATTAACCCCTGTTCTGTCTTTCCTGTCCTGTACTGTCTTAAATGTAACTGGTATACAGATAGGAAATAAGTGCAAACTATCACGAAATATTTCTCATCCATTGTTTTTCCTGACGTTTATGTGTCATTTTTGTCTCTAGTGTGTGATGTTCTTCTTTCCACTTACCACTTATTCTCATATGTTCTCTCAAGAACATTTATTCTCTAAACCTTTCCTCCTTGAAAGTATTCCAGAACATTATTGTTCTAAGTGATTCTCTTTCTGATGGTAAATAATTGATTGTCCATTTGACAGTCATTTATTCTACTGTGGTAACACATAGGGATAGCTATCTCTTTTTCTTTTTCACTTTTGTTTTTGTTTTTGGGCCACACCCTGGTGTGCTCCTGACTCACTCCTGGTGATACTAGAAGACTATCTTCCATGCTGGAGATCAAATCCTTGTCAGCTTCTTACAAGGCAGAGCACCTTACCTTCTATACTATGTCTCCAGTCCAAGATATCTACCTCTTAAATGTATTGAAGTTGTTTGATTTGTTGCATATTTCTGAATTGTTTTGTGATATGTTATTTGGAGGCAATAACATTATCTTTTTTTCCCTTTACTGACCCTACATTTAAAATTATAGGTGGGGCTGGAGCTATAGCACAGCAGGCAGGGCGTTTGTCATGCACCACCGACCCGGGTTCGATTCCCAGCATCCCGTATGGTCCCCTGAGCACTGCCAGGAGTAATTCCTGAGTGCAGAGCCAGGAGTAACCCCTGAGCATCGCCGGGCATGACCCAAAAAGCTAAATAAATAAATAAATAAAATTTTAGGTGATGGTCATTAGTTAGTATTGCCACTTTATTAATTTGAAGTGAAATATAAAGTCTGTGCTTCTAATTGAGTGTGAAATGTAAAGATAAAGAAAGGGTTCGGGGGCCAGAGTGGGGAGGGCATTTGTTTTGCATGCAGCTGACTACGGTTCAATCCTCAGCATTCTATATGTTCCTCAAACTTCGCAAGTAGTGATTTCTGATCACAGAGTCAGGAGTAAATCCCAATTTTGGTGTGTGTCCCCAGTACCAAAAAATAATTTAAAAAATAAAGGAGTGTCTTTGAATAAATTTATGATTAGTAACATAGTATGAATCTGTTTGTAAATCATGCTTATGAAGGAAATGAATTACATAAAATTAAGACTTCTTTAATAATCCTTAAAGGAATTCTGTTTTATTAGCACTCCTGGCAGTCTGGTGTCAATGGAATGAGGCACAGCAAATCATGTATACGATTTGTTGTAATTCTTTTGTTTTAACTTCTTTATGTGCCCTTAATTAAGGGAATCATATTTGAAGATTTGTGTCATTTTTAATGTCACTTTTTTTTCAGGGGGTAGGAGTTCAGCTACACTGGTGATGCTTAGGGATTACTCCTGGCTTTACACTCAGGAATTATTCCTGATAGAGCTGAGGAAACTAAATGGGGTACCAGGTATTGAACCTGGGTCAACCTGGAAAGCACCCTATCCACTCTGGCACCCAGAAACAACTTTTTTTTGACTGTTTGGGTCACAGTCAGTGATGCACAGGGGTTACTCCTGGCTCTGCACTTAAGGATTACTACAGGCGGTGCTCAGGGAACCATAGGGGATGCTGAGAATCAAACCCAGGTCAGCACGTGCAGGCAAACACCCTACCCTCTAGTACGGCGGTAGTACAGATAGTACCCTACCTGTACTATCACTCCTGTCCCCAGAAACAACTTTAGTAAGACTTGTGGCACTGTCATTCTAGAAGAGCAGAAGTAGCAACTATAAAAGTAATAAGTATTCAGCAATGACAATTTTCAAGAAGAAATAATTACATGTCAGGGAAATGGCTAAAGGGGCTTGCCCCAGTTCAGTCTGGCAACACGTCGTTCCCCATGCATAGAGCCAGAAATAGCACCACCGGGTCTGGCAAAAAATACCAAAAATTGAACAGATTTAAAGGAAAAATATTCCTGTGATTTCTTTTTAAGATTGGGGCTAAAACTGTTTTTAGGAGGAAAAAGTCTTAGTTTTTTAATGTTAGTATTAAAAATAATAGCTTTGTCAAAATAATCCTGTCAAAAGTAACAGTTTTTCTAAGTTTCATGATTTATGCTCAGTTTTTTTTGTTTAAAAATTTGTTTTCCTTTTTATTTTTGCCATCATTCTTGTATATATCTGTACAGCTGATATTTATTTGATCTATTGTTTTCGGCATTTGTCAGTATTGAGGATTCAGTAACAAACAACTCAAAGTTTCTACCTATATGGAATTCACATTTTTTATAGTTAATCAAATTACATTTTAACTTTAGAACTCAAAAAGTCAATTATCTGGATAGTATGTATTAGTACTGTTTCTAAAAAATATTCTCCCCTAATTTTTTTGAACCTAGGTCAGCCACATGCAAGGCAAGCACCCTACTTGCTGTAGTATCACTTTTGCCCCTAAAATAGTTTTATCTAAGTAAAATTGTATATTAAAAAAAAAGATGAGGACACAGACACAATAAGTGTCAAAAGCTCAGTAAGCTTCAAAATGAGTTATAGGTATGATTTTTTTATCTGTACTTGACTATTAGAGGAAAATTCAGTGAATGTTTTATTATTAACTTAAATGTGGGTGATTTAAGAGCTAGAAATTGTTAGTATATAGTTACAAATATTTAATATATATTGAAATAATATGAAGAGAAAATTTTTTAATTTATTTATTTTTCACTGGCTTAAATATCACAGGGCCAACCAAACATCTCTCATTAGGGCTCTCTATACATCTTGGGTTAATTTCTCAGGGAGGTTTCCCCGAAGTGGGTTCCTCAATCAAGATTTGGACTTTTTTTTTTAAGTTTGGCTTTTTTAAAATTCAATTTAATTAATTTATGTATTTGCGTTTTTGGGGGGGTCCCACCCGGCAATGCACAGGTGATTACTCTTGGCTCTGCACTCAGGAATTACTCCTGGCGGTGCTCAGGGGATCATTGGGATGCTGGGAATCGAACCTGGGTTGGCCGCATGCAAGGCAAACGCCCTGCCCGCTGTGCTATCGCTCCAGCCCCTGGAGAGGAAATTTTCAAGATACAATGTTAAGTTGCAGTGTTTCTGTCAATAAGAATTATTTTTCAACCAAGTCTCACCTCTGTCCCATTCTTTATATCATCTTAAATGTTTAGATCAATCAATAGTATGATCATATCACTCAATGCATCACTTTTTTTTTGAGAATTACAGGCTGTTTTTTATAATATTGGCATGTATTTTGGGAGCTGGAGCAATATGTCTACAGTGTGTAGGGCTCTTGCCATGCACACAGCTGACCTGGGTTTGATCCCCAGCATCCCATATGGTACCCCCAAGCCCCACCAGCAGTGATCCCTTGACACAGTCAGAAATCATCCCTCAGCACTACCAAGTAGTGCCCAAAGACAAAAAAGTAATAATTTTTTAAGATTGGCATATTTTAAAATATAATATACCTGAACACTATGTAGTGGGTAGTAGTTCCTTGTAGTAGTTCCTGAAAGTTCCTTGTAGTAGTTGTTCTTCCCTAAAAACTTAACGTGTAGCTCTGGGAGTTGTATCAGTTGTATCAGTTCTCCTTGGTCTCTTCTTCTGGGCTTTGGTGATTTCTTGTCTGTATCCCACGTGTATTTTAAAACAATTTTGTTTTTAAATCAGAATTGGAGAAATTGAAAGAAAGGTACAAAGATCTGGAAACCAAAAAAGATCAAAGGTCAAATAAAGAACTTAAGGATAATGAAGATTCACTTAGTAAAAAGCTCAATAAGCTTCAAGATGAGTTACAGGTATGAAATTTATCTGTATCTGACGATTGTATTTGCATTAGAGGAAAATTCAGTGTGTGTTTTATTATTAACTTACATATGGGTGAGTTAAAAGCCAGAAATTGTTAGTAATAGATATTGAAATAATATGGAGAAGAAATTTTCAAGATACAGTGACAAAATGTCAACGTAAACATAATGATTGGGTCTTTTTTTCCATAATTTCAGGATTAATCCTTTAATTACCTTTTTTTGTCTTATTGCCTGTTCTTCATTATCATTTCTTTTTTTATTGACACTCCACACAAGTATTTCCCTCATCCATTTCACCATAGTGCTGTCACACAATCAAAAAAGAGACCTCTGACTTTTCCCCCCATTTCCCTTCTTTTTTAAATTATCTATTCATTTATTTTTGTTATATTTATTTATTGAATCAGGGCTGGAGCGATAGCACAGCGGTAGGGCGTTTGCCTTGCACACAGCCAACATGGCCGACCGGAGTTCGATTCCTCTGCCCCTCTTGGAGAGCCCGGAAAGCTACCGAGAGTATCTCACCTGCGTGGCAGAGCCTGGCAAGCTCCCCGTGACATATTCGATATGCCAAACACAGTAACAACAAAGTCTCCAGTGGAGACGTTACTGGGCCCGCTCGAGCAAATCGATGATCAACGGGAGGGCCTTTATTGAATCACTGTAAGAAAAGTTACAAAGCTTTCAAGATTAAGTCTCGGTCATACAATGATCAAACACCTTTCCCTTCGCCAGTACTCATTTTTCGCCACCAAGAACCCCAGTATACCCCCCTCCCACCCTTCCCAATGCCTGTGAGGCAGATGATTTCTACTTAACTCTCTACTTTGATTACATTCATTATTTCAACAAAAGATGCACCATTATTGTTTAGAATTTCCCCCCAACAATCAGAACTGCTGAAAAGGCATTGTGAAATGCTTTGTTTTCTATAGCTGGTTTTGAGAACCATATGATGTCGCGCGGCCACTATTGAGATTTTGGATTTCTGATATTTTACTAGGTAAGTCTGGAGGGATTTCTGCCAAGAGCCAGATAATTACGAGATTGGTTTCTGTGCGTCTGGTGTTGTTTGCCAACTTCTTTGTTTTATTTATTCATTTTTCACATACAGGTGTAGCCATGTAATAATTGTTTATCACTTCCTATTTCATTGATTGTACTTAGTATCTAGCTATTTTACTCCAAATGGCACAATTTCATCTTTTCTAATGACAGTGGAATTCTTAATGTATGTACTTTAGATTCTTTGTCCAGCCATCTGACATTAGGCATCTCAGTTGATTCCATGTTGGTAACTACAGTGAATAATGCTGCTGTACATAGAAGAATGGATATATCTTTTCAAATTAGTTTCCATTTTCTTCAAGCAGATGCTTAGGAATGTATATCTATTTTTTACTGCTTCCTCATCAAACACTGCTATGGAGAAGATGAGCATTAGGAAATCATCTTGACTATTATAAATCTTTCAAATTTTAAGCAAGAAAAGAATATAACATATGAAAATACAATAATATATTCGAAACTATAAAGAAGACTATCTTTGTCTTTTTCATGTTCTGCTTCATCGTACTGTATAGAATATAACATGGGGTTCTCTTTTTTTCATGGGATTTACAAAATACTACATAAGTTTTTATACATTTTGTTAAAAGTAGATTCTAACTAATTTTGAGTTAAAACATTAATGTTTTTAATTAATATTAATTAACATTTAAAATGTTTTTTAAGGATTGGGGATTTAAATCTGCATTCAGTCTCTAGAGTCAGAAATTAAGAAAAAAACAAAGAACTACTTTCTTTTGTAATGTGCTTATTTACTTTTTTATTGTGAAAAACTCAAAAGCTGCTAGAACATCACTAGTACAGGGAAAACATACTAATTGTGAGAGTTCATATAAGGAGTATTAGTATACCTTTCCTTATTCTTTTTTTGGTGGGGGAATCTTGGGAGGCCATATCCAGCAATAATCAGGGGTTACTCCTGGCTCTGCACTCAGAAATTACTCCTGGTGGAGCTTGGGGGACCATATGGGATACTTGGGATCAAACCCTGGTCAACCTTATGCAGAGAAAATGCCATATCTGCTGTACTGTCGCTCCATTCCTATTTTGTTTTTTCTTTTTTCTTTTTTTTTTCTTTTTTGGGTCACACCTGGCGATGCACTGGGGTTACTCCTGCCTCTGCACTCAGGAATCACCCCTGGCGGTGCTCAGGGGATCACATGGGATGCTGGGAATCGAATCCGGGTCTTCCACGTGCAAGGCAAACACCCTACCCTCTGTACTATAGATCTAGCCCCTCCATTCCTACTTAGAATTATTCTAAAATGATGAAATCACATATCTTAGAAGTATATTTTATAATCCTGGAATGAACTGCCATAGTTTAACTAAAACAGTGATTTTAGAAGTTTTAAAACAGCGCCAGAGCAATAGTACAGTGGGTAGGGTGTTTGCCTTGCATATAGCCAAACCTAGGTTTGATCCCCAACATATCATATGGTCACCCCTAACACCTCCAGGTATAATTCCTGAGTGCAGAGCCAGGATCAACCCCTCAGCACTGCAGAGTGTGGCAAAAAAAGTTTTAAAACATGGAGGAGCGCCAGAGTGATAGTACAGTGGCTAGGGCATTTGCCTTGCATGCTGTTGACCTGGGTTCAATCCCCAAGACTGTGAATGGTTCCCTGAGCATTGCCAAGGGTGATTCCTAAGTGCAGAGTCAAGAGTAACCCCTGAGCATCGCCGGGTGTGACCCAAACACTAAATAAATAAAAAATAAAACAACAAAAAGTGGGAAAAGGACCAAGAATGCCCTGAGTTTAATCCCTGAACCTCCCTTGGCCTCCCAGACACTGCCAGGAATGACCTCCTCAACTACCAACACCACCTTATGTAAGAGTTATGTAGATCGATTGGGTTGCTTTGGTTGTTTTTTTAAGACATAGTGGTTTTTGTTTGTTTTCTTTTTGGGTCATACCTGACAGTGCTCAGAGGTTACTCCTGGCTTTGCACGCAGGAATTACTCCTGGAGTTGCTCAGGGGACCATATAGGATGATGAGGATTGAACCACCAGGGATTGAACCCAGGTCAGCCGCATGCAAGACAGATGCCCTACCCACTGTACTATTGCTCCGGCTCCAAGACATAGTGTTTTTTGTTAAATCAAGTTTTACTTGAATTTTAGGTACTTTGGGCAATGGGGGACCAGTGGTAGAGGCTCACCTGATGGTGTTCAGAGCTTATTCCATGTTGCATAAGTGCAGAACATTTATAAGCATTATAAAAATAGATTATTGGGGGGCTGAAGGCTATATGTAGCTGTGCTAAGGAATTACTCAGCTCTGTGCTCAGGGAACCTGATGTAATCCCTGAGGTCAAACCTGAGTGAGGCTTATGTAAGCGCCTTACACACTGTTTTATCCCTCCAACTCCTAACTGTATTATTTATCTATACAGGAATATAAGCAGAAATATAAAGCTGATAGAGAGAAATGGTTGGAAGAAAAAATGATGCTAATCATTCAAGCAAGAGAAGCTGAGAATCTAAGAAACAAGGAAATGAAAAAAATTGTTGAAGACAGAGAACGTTGTTTAAAGCAAGTGGTTGGTAACAATTATACATTCTCTGCATGTGTCTCCTCTGCTTTCTCCCCCTTTTCTTCTTTGCTGTTGTGATTGCTCTAAGGCCCTGTGTCTCATACACTTTGGTTGCAGTGCTTACACGCAGTTGGTTATGGCACACTGGAGATCGCAGACTTTGTTGTGGTGCCAAGGATCACAAACTGCAGTGCTGCTGGGATTACGCTCAGCAGCATGGGGGTGGCACTAGGGACCTCCAGGTTCTGCCTCAGACCCTCACGAAAGGCTCTGAGCCGCATCTCCGGGCCCCATCTGCTTTCTCTTTTGCAATGCAGTTTACTAATCCCTAAGAGGATTTTACTGTTCCAGTTTTTATCTTTCACTTCTTGTCCCAAGTTCACTTTTGCTCTTTAACTTTTTGCAGTTCATTTTGCAAGTTGGGGAAACTTTTAAATGTAGTCTGGAAATAGTACTAAAAAATCTATTTTCTTCTCCAATGTTACCGTGATTCTGCTGTAAAAGTTTCTACATAATGAGTTATAGATTCTACTAGAAGCCAGTTCATTAGGACATTTTGTTGGGGGGCGGGGGTTAAGCTACACCTGGCAGTGCTTAGAGTTCTGGGATTTGGGTTTTTGGGTTCTTGCCTTCAAATCCTGCACTCCAACCCTTTTGAGCCATCTCCCTAGCCCAGGACTTTTTTTTAAAGTCAGCTATACCATTTCTACAAAACCCTGGTAGAAATAATGTTTCATTTTATGTTGACCAGCTAATTATTTTTTTGAACAGTGATTCCATCTTAACTTGGGGATTTTTAAGTATTTTTTAACTTGGATTTTTCCCCTTCTCTTTTAATGGAAAGGTTACTCAGAAACCCAGTGTTGCTAATCAGAAAAAAAGAAGTTGGTGATTGATTCTAAGAAAATTATCAGACAATACTTTAATATTAACTTTATTTATTTATTTATTTTGATTGTGCATAGTCAATCTTTAATTCAGAACCAAATAGCATACTTATAGAACATCTGAGGGGGTCTGAGGTACAGAACTGCACATATTGTGATTTACCATTTACAGAGGTCAAGCGTTTCAACAGAGACAATTCTTTAGGGGGAATTAACTCAAGGAGACACTCTGCCTGAGGCTATACTGAAAGATTCGCTCAGGGGCTATATGCATCTGTGTTGCGTTTCTCTTTCCCTGCTCGTACACATTAAACAAATTAAGTTTACGTCTTATTGATATTTGAAGTTATTGATACACACAGTAACAAACATTCCAAAACTTACTTCTCTGGGGTCCAGGAGCTAAGGTTAAAAGCTGGCTGGGATCCAGCTTTCTGGGGTTAGAGACTGCGGCAACTGAAGCTTGAGTCAAGTAATTATGACGGATGCCCAGGAGTGAAAAAATATACATATATATGTACATATATATATATATATTTTAATGTAGGCGTGCTGCTATTTATTCAGCCACTGATTATGCTGATTGAATTGGGCATGAACTCCATTAATATAACTTTAAATTAAGAAATACATATATGCTTTTTAGGACCAGGGTGATAGTACAGCAGATAGAGCGTTTGCCTTGCTTTTGGCTCCGTGCTCAGGGCTCACTCTTGGTTGGCTCGGGCGGGGGACCCTAATGGGGTGCCAGGATCAAACCCAAGTTGGCTGACTGCAAGGCAAGTACCCCACTTACTGTACTATTGTTCCATCCCCATTTTGTTCATTTTTTAAATTTCATATAAGTGAAAATATATAAAATGGCCTAATTTGCTCCTGCTTTCTTCATTTTCAATGTCATTTTTACTCTACTGGAATCCTCATATAAATTACTTTGAATCTGCTTTTCTCTATACACACACAGAAGTTGCCCTAGGTCTGGTGGGGAGGGAAATAGGGAGGGGGGGCGGGGCTCAAACCCAGGCCTCACAAGTGGAAGAGTCGTGCTCAACCGGGAGCCACATGCCACATCCACAACTGCTGGAAATTTCACTAAGAATTATATCAGCTTTAAAGATCTGTTAAGGAAACTAACATCTTCGCACTGTTAAACCTTTGTCCTTAAACACACAGTATGTACTCTCTTGGGGCTGGAGGGATAGCACAGCGGGTAGGGCGTTTGCCTTGCACGCAGCCAACATGGCCAACCGGAGTTCGATTCCTCTGCCCCTCTCGGAGAGCCCGGCAAGCTACCGAGAGTGTCTCACCCGCAGAGCCTGGCAAGCTCCCCGTGATGTATTCGATATACCAAACACAGTAACAACAAGTCTCACGATGGAGACGTTACTGGGCCCGCTCGAGCAAATCGATGAACAATGATGTACTCTCTTGATTTATTTGTGTCCCCCTTAATTTTGTTTTTTCAGTATTGCTTGTATATTTCATGTTTAGATCTTATATTTTCCTCAAGTTTTCACTATTTCATGATTGTTCTAACCCAGTTTATTTTTACTTTTCTAACGTTTGTTACAATTTATTGTTGTCATTTTACTGCAATTTTGCCCACTCACTTCTTCTCTTTGCTTTTTGGGGGGATGAGGGTGTCACACCCAGCGATGCACAGGGCTTACTCCTTGCTCTGCACTCAGGAATTATTCCTGGAGCTGCGTGGGAGACCATAGGGGATGCTGGGGATTGAACCCGTGTCAGCCTTGTGAAAAGCAAATGCTGTCCCTACTGTTCTATTGTTCTGACCCCATCGCTCATGTTTCAGGTGTTGAGCAAATGCAGATATTAATTTAAATCTGTAATTTTTTTACGTGAACAAGGGGAGGCGGAGCAAGGCAAAAAGCCCTCTGTGCTGTGCTATTACTCCGACCCCGAGGATTTTTTTTTTATGTTAAAGTGTTGTTTGATAAAGAGGGAGGGCATTTGCCTTGCACAAGGCTGACCTAATTGGATCCTCCGCTTTCTGTATGGTCCCCTGAACCTCGTTGTAAGTAATTTCTGAGCGGAGAGCCAGGAGTAACCCCTGAACATTGCTGGGAATGACCCAAAAAAACAACAACAAAAGAGGTGAACAAGTGGCCAAAGCAATAGTAAAGTGGGTAGGATGCTTGACTCGCATGTGGTCCCAGGTATGATCCCCTATCCTGTATCCCCCAAACCCTCTAGGATCACTGCCAGGTGTGTCACCATAACCAAACAACAAATAAAGAGGTGAGCAATAAACTGATTTTTAAATTTTGGACAGATAGGGATAAAATTTGTACATGAACATAGTGGACATATTCTGTCATTTAGTGGACATATTCTGTAATTTGTTTTACAAGGAAATATTTTATCTGGGCTTTCTGATTAGAAAATGCTTACGGCACAACTGACAGAGAAAGACAGTAACCTTCAGAAGTGGCGAGAAGAACGTGATCAGCAGGTTGCAGCATTGGAAATACAACTCAAAGCTCTTGCCTCCGGTAACATACAGAAAGACAATGAAATTGAACAGTTGAAGAAGAGCGCCATAGAAAATTCTAAAACAGTCAGTAGACTTTTGTTCTTCTCATTCATTTTTTTTTATTAGTGAAGCACCATGAGGTACAGTTGTAGATTTACAAATCTCTGTGCTTGGGTTTCGGTCATACAATGATCAAATACCCATCCCTCCACCAGTGCCCATTTTCCACCACCATGAATAATATCCCCCCACCCCCCCTCCCACCCTGCCTCTGTGGCAGGGCACTCCCCTTTGTTCTCTCTCTCCTTTTGGGTGTTGTGGTCTGCAAAAGAGGCATTGAGTGGCAAACATGTTCAGTCCATAGTCTACTTTCAACATGCATTTCCCCTCCTGGGAGGATCCTCCAAACACCCTTTATTTGGTGCTCCCTTCTCTATCTGAACTGCCCTTTCCCCTAGAATACCCGGCTGGCCTCTAAGCTATGGAGTAATCCTCCTGGTGTTGATCTCAGCTATTCTTAGGTATTAATCTCATATTTTGTTGCTTTATATTCCCCAGATGAATGCAATCTTTCTATGTCTATCCCTCTCTTTCTGACTCATTTCGCTTAGCATGATACTTTCCATATTGTACCACTTGTATGTAAATTTCATGACTTCATCTTTTCTAAGAGCTACATAGTACTCCATTGTGTAGATGTACCAAAGTTTCTTTAACCAGTCATCTGTTCTTGGGCACTCAGGTTTCTTCCAGTTTCTGGCTATTGTAAAGAGTGCTGCAATGAACAAACAAGTGCAAATGTCACTTTGACTACACATTTTTGCCTCTCTGGGGTATATTCCCAGGAGTGGTATCGCTGGGTCAAATGGGAGCTCAATTTCTAATTTTTTGAGAAACGTCCATACTGTTTTCCAAAAGGGCTGAACTAGTCGGCATTCCCACCAACAGTGAAGGAGTGTCCCTTTCTTGCCACATCCGCGCCAGCAACAGTTGCTTTTGTTCTTTTGAATATGGGCCAGTCTCTGAGGTGTGAGATGGTATCTCATTGTGGTTTTGATCTGCATCTCCCTGATGATTAATGATGTAGAGCATTTTCTCATGTGCTTTTTTGCCATTTGGATTTCTTCTTTGAGAAAGTTTCTGTTCATTTCATTGCCCCATTTTTTGATGGGGTTGGATGTTTTCTTCCTGTGGAGTTCAACCAGTATTTTGTATATCTTTGATATCAACCCCTTGTCAGATGTGTATTCGGTGAATATCCTTTCCCATTCTGTAGACTGTCTTTGTATTTTGGTCACTGTTTCTTTGGAGGTGCAGAAGCTTCTTAGTTTAAGATAGTCCCATTTATCTATCTCTGTTTTTACTTGCTCGGCCAGTGGCGTGGCATCTTTGAAAGTACCATTAGCCTCAATGTCATGGAGGGTTTTGCCAACTTTGTCTTTAATGTACCTTATTGCCACACCATCAACGGTGTCGCCCGCGTAGCAACATGTTACGGGGGAACCTGGGCAGGCCTCAGGTTCCTGGGAATGGGAGGTTCGCGGCCCACGGGTCTATGCCTCCTGCAGCCCCCCTTGTTTGCCTGGGCCTAGCAAGCACCCATGACGCTTCTGGTATGCGGTTCTCTAGCCTCCCAAATGGAGCTTTTAATATTTGCCTGCCAGTCTTACTTTTAGTTTAAGTATCGACTACTGCAGAAAACATAATCACTAACCACAGGAATGTAAGGAAATAAGTTCATGGTTTTAGGACAATAGGAATATAGGAATATAAGACTGGGTTAAGTCTTATAAGAAGAGGTGCTATAGTTGCAGTTTAAATTACTTTATTGTCAGTTACCTTAGCTCATGGAAAAGAGGTTTTAAATAAAGTCAGAGTTCATTTTGAAGCTAGACAAAAGCAGAGCCAGTCAAGACCACTGAAAGTTATCTTTAGAAGAGTGCCAGCCTCAGCTTACAATGCAGTCATTAATGAACAAACAGCAGGCCTACGTGTGGGAGAGAGGGGATGTTGAAAGACCCCTATGCCCTCTTTTGCAAACATCAAACCCCTGCACGTACACTGCAGACATCGGCCCCTGCACGTGCACCCCGTAATTCATTAATGTGACAATGCTAAACACAGTTTGTTAACCTAATGACCTTCCCTGTCTCTTTAATGTACTGACCTGGTTACAAAAATAAAGCAGAACTTGTATTGGGAAAGATAAGGATAAAAGAACTCTGTAAACTGGATTGTGGTTAAACACCGTTGAACATGAAAGGCCTATGTAAAGATTTACGAGCGGATGCCTTGTCTCAATGTAAAGCAGACCCTGTACCGTTTTTGGGAACTTAATGAAGAGACTAACATAATGTCTGATAAGGACCCCTGGTTCTTTGTTCTGTAACTGTATAATAAGAGGAACTCTGGGCTCAATAAACTCGCAGCAGCACTCAGCCTCTCTTGTGTTGGTGTCTGTCTGTCCATCGCGCCGAATCTCCTGCTTTCCTGCGGACCTTCTCCCCTGTTTTCCCCTCAGCCTGGTGGTCTTCGACCGAGGCAGTCTGCAGCATTCCCCTGAGCACCGCAAGGGGTAATTCCTGAGGGCAGAGCCAGGAGTAACCCCTGTGCATCGCCAGGTGTGACCCCCCCCCCCAAAAAAAGCTAACTTGCTTATCACTGGGTATGTAGCTCAGGGCTAAAGCACTTGGCTTGCAAGTATGAAATTTTGGGTTCTATTCCTCGCACTATAGAAACAAAACCAAAATCACTAACTGTGGTTGAAAATATATCTCAGTGGTAAAATATTTGCCTCACATTTGTGAGGTTATGGGTTTGATCCCTGAATTTCCATATACGCACACAAAAGCTAATTTACTTAAAGAATATTAAACTGCTTAAAAGTAAGTATATATTGCCATACTATTATACAGATTTAATTCTCAATAAAATAACTTGAAAAGGTCTATTTTTAGCATCTTTGCTAGGAAAAGATGTTACCTGATTTTTAAATATTTGTAATTTTGGGGAAAATTTTAAATTGTCATTTTAATTTGTGCTCTTTGTCTACTAGTGAGCTTGAAAATTGCTCTTGTGTTTACGAGTCATATATACTTCTTTTAGTACAGATTATATGATCATGCTTTATGCTTATTTTTTCTATACAAGTTTAATAGCTAAATACTGATTTATTTCATAGCACTAATTTATTAAAAACATTCACCCTTTGCCTATCATATTAATTGCCAGTAGTTGTTTGTTTTGCTTGTTTTTTGATCACTTAATTTACTTTTTACCTTTTCTTTCAGATTGTAAAATTTTCACACAAATGAGCATATGTTTTTCTTTATATTCTACAGTTTTAAACTGAGAACTGTTTGTTTTGTACAAATAAGATACCTGTGCATTTACTATTTCTTCTCATTATTTTTACATTTTAACACATCTCGATTCATCTACAACTTATCCTAGTAAGTGTTGTCATATTGAAAGAAACCACCATTTTTTTCAATCATAGCACTGTGGCACTGTCCTCCCGTGGTTCATCCATTTACTCGAGCGTGCACCAGTAACATCTTACAACAAATTGTGAGACTTGTTGTTACTGGTTTTGGCCTATCTAATACGTCATGGATAGCTTGCCAGGCTTTTGCTATGAGGGCGAGATACTCTGGGTAGCTTGCCGGGCAGAGGAATCGGTACTCTGGGTAGCTTGCTGGGCAGAGGAATCAGAATCAGGGTTGGCCTTCTGCAAGGCAAATGTTACCGGCTGTGCTGTAAACGTTATAGAAAATATACTAGTAATACCGAATGTTGTTTCTTTAACAGTGCAATAAAAATGATTATTTATTAATTTTGGTGATTTATTAGTGAAATATGTAAGCTCTTGAGTATAATGGGAGTAGTTTTCTAACACAATAGTCTGAGGAAGTTGAAACTGTTATAACTGTCTTGTAGGATTCCATCTCCCTAGCCTGCTTCATTCTACTTCTCTCTCTATCCAATCCGGTCTTCTTCTTGGGAATCTGACCTCCTGATTGGCTAGCCTCTACCTTTCAACTGCTAATTTTATGACATCATTCTCCCACCAAACCAACTACCAACTGGAAGAATCTTGGGGTTCCCATGCGGTTGTTTGTAAACAAATTTGAATCATCCTGGCAAGTGACCAGTGACCAATGACCAATCACCATTGACCAGTCATCTGTACTGGACACTTGTGGTCTTAAGCCGCTGCAGTTTACTGACGTACTCTCGTACTGTCTCCTCTTCTCGTCTAGCTTGCATCGATATTTCCTCTTCTCTGACCATGTCAGGTAAGGAATACTACTTTTCAAAGCTTTACATTAGATTTATCATCCCTAAACTTAGCAGTCTAGTAAAAACAACATGTAGTAGTGAAGGAAACTATTCAAGTAGAATTTTATAAGCCTCATTTTAGCTTGACTTTGACATTTGCTGTGTGATTTTAGACATTGGCTTACTTTCTCTCACATACAAACTGTTTTTCCTCATTGATTACTTTATATTTTAGACATATTTACGAGCTCAAATACAAACATATATATATGTTGATTCTCTGTGTTTCTTTTTCCTTTTATTCGTGTATTTTACATGATATCCATTGAAAAAAAGTAAATCAGAGACAGTATTTTTACAGAAACAGAAAATGTAGATGCTGTGGAAACCTGTTCATATATATTAGAATGTTTTCTCTGTAATGGTCTCTCCACTTGTATTTATACTTCAGTATTTTAAATATAGTGCTATTACACAGTAATAATCATTTATCTTTGAGTTTTCTATTTAAACCAGGTAATAAGAAAATATGGAGCATGGGGAAGGTGTGGAGTGCTGAGTGGTAGGGAGGCAAGCCCTCAAAGGTAAGATGTTTGGGATCACTTTCATCAAACATTGACCAATAGAAACCAAGAAGATGTGAGGGAGACTAAAATAGGAAAGAAAGAAAGGAAAAAAGAAAGAATATGGACAGCAATTATCAAGGAAGAGGAAAGCGTCTGGATAGAATGTTGAAGAAAACCAAGGATTTAAAATCAGAAAAGAAAGAATATATGTTAAATGTGCTGAGATAAATACACTGAGAGCAAGTCAAAGCAATTTACTTCAATAAATGCCAGGACTAGAAAGTATACTATGCCTTGAGTAGGATACCAGTAGGAAAACCAGTATATCAGAAAGCCATCCTTGGTGACTTTTTTCCTTATTATCTCTAAGAACACAGTACTTGGTACTTGACAATTTGGAATATAAACATGCTCCAGAAGTGATACATCCCATAAATAGCTAATAGTGGTTATCTAGGTGGGTGGAAGAAATAGAATCTTCAATGTTTTTATTACGTTCTGGTTTTTAAGTACATGTACGCGTTGCCTGTTGAAATTTAAGAAATGGTATCTTCTAACTTGATTCAGTAGATTTGATTCATTTGTGTTGTAAGTAGGTTCCAGGTTAAAGTTGCTTGTCATATTTACAAATATTATTTCATGTGACTTTTTCTTCCTAACATGAGTGTATTTTGATAATAGTCAACTTCTGTTTTTAGATCCTAAGAGGAAATAGGAAAATCAAGTCTCACGTGTCTAATTACACATTTTTGTCATATTTGTGAATTTTGATTATTCCTACATTAAAAATATTTAATGGGATTTTGGTGCTCATTTATTAAATAATGAGAAGAATGTTTTCCTGGTTAATAAAGATAATTCTAATCTAGGTTTTGAAAGTAAATTTGCAATATTTTGTGATCATTTTTTATACGGTCTTTTCTGTTTGTTTGTGTGATAAACTGAAATCATATGCTATGTTTAACACGTGTTGTTTACTGGTTAATATTCAGAGGTATTGATGAGAATAATTTTTTGTAATTACGAAGTTTCTCTATTTAACTCATTTAAAACATTTCTTGCCTATGAAATACAATCACGTTTATTCCTATTTTCTTTTTGTTATGTAGTTACTGGTAAATCTTTTTTCTTTAATGTACTGGTAAAGTGTGCACTCAAAAATCACCTTCTATTCCATTTTTTTTCTAGCAGTTTTTTTCTAAAATAGAATACACTCTTCATATTGTATATGTGAAACAATTTATTAATAAACTTATTGGACTGTTTTATTTGGTTTTGTTTGAGACCACATTCACTGTTATTCAGGGTTGACTCTTGGGTCTGCTCTCAATAACTTACTGTACTATGCTGCTTGCTACATAGCCCAGATTTCATTGATATCTATATACTTATTTTTCAGTTCTGTGACACATATTTTTCATTATGTTTTCTTTATTCTTCCTCCTATGTAAACCACATGAAATGGAAAAATTATATTCATGTATGCATTATTATTCTTAGAGTTATTAGTAACTACATTGTAGATAAACAGCTTAAGACACAGAATTTAAATAAAGTTTTCCTTCCAAAAACTTTTCTTGGGAAAAACTCAAGTAGTCCTTTTTGAAGTGGATAAAAAATCAGGGTAACCTTCAATGCATCAACAAGATTAAGTCATAAGTGAACCGTAACTAACAGATATTCATTGCACAAGTAAAAAGGAAACCTGATGATTACAATGGTAATAGTTGTAAAGACCCCAAATGCCTATATTAATGTAAGGTATCTTCCTAACCGTTTCTGCATTGTAGTGATCATGCAGAGTCCTGGAAAAAAGTCCACATGCTTAGATTCCTTAACTTGGAAATTCAAAAGGGACAGAGAGATAGTACTGGAGGGGATAAGGCACTTGCCTTGTACACAGCCAATCAAGTTGGATCTCTGTCACTGCATACACCCTTCTGAATGTTACAAGGGGTCACTCCAGAGTGTAGAGCCAGAAAGAGCCCAAGATCACTGTCAGTTATTGGTCCAAACTATACTCCTTACCACACCCAATAAAAATTATTGGAAAACATGAAGTCTCTTTGTCATTTCTGGACCTCAGGTTTCTTCTTGTCCAGAGAATGTTACCCATTCTCTTAGACTTCCTAGTTTGGAAAAGCTTCCCTTATAGGAAATAACATATGAATCAATTTGGAGAGCAAGCTACAGGCATTGCTAGGGTAAGGAGAAACTCGCTGTAAGCAAGAAATCCAGGTACAGACACGATCACCTGGTTCTTCTACAGTTCTGTGTTCATTTGGAAGCACGATAACAAATACACAAATTGCTAAAAGGTTACAGGATTTGAATCACCCCAAATTATTGGAATTTTGGAAACTCAATTGACTGCTGGTACTAGAAGCATCTCGATGGCTTAAACTTTAAGTTAATATTGTTCCTCTCAGCATTGCAGGAGATTATTAATCTCACAGAATTTTTTCATCACCCTCTTGTTCCTTACAGAAAATTTTCAAAATACATCTGTATTGGGAACTGCACATACTCTGCAGCATTCCCT